TCCAAAAGCATCAACCTAGTGATTAGAAATATGAAAATTAAAAAAGGAAAGTTACCCTTCTGTGCCGGATGTTAGACAATTTTTCTTGGTCCCATATTCCAAGACAAAATGAAACAAAAGATAACCAACTTCACTAATCTATGAAATTTTACAAAAAATCTAAAGTAGAATCCATGCACTATCATGGCTATACAGGCAATTTCTAGCAGCCATAACATATCCATATTTTTTATATATAGCTTTCCATGGCTACTTTCATGGTAATTTTTCTTTGAACCTTCCTTTATGGTATCTAGACTTTATATGTTTTCTAAGCAAAATGATTGGCACAAGTTCATTCTTTTTGATGATTGAAATTGGTAGATGTAACTGCATCCTTATACTGATAGTTTTGTCCTTGCAAAATAATGGAACTATTCTGACTTCTTAAATTGAGAGCCAACTAACATCTTTCAAAAATTTAAATGAACAAATATATAAAACACTATAATCTGTTCCATATTTTAAAGGGGATAACATTAAATGAGGCAGAGTTTCAAATGTTAAAGTGGAATTGCATTTTCTAAGTTCAGACTTTATTTAAAATACATTTAGATAAACAAATAAAAAACGTTCATCATAAAAACTATTATATTTTAATACACTTGTTACCTACCTATAATTGTATGTGTCATATTAATCCTATTAAATCCAACTGTTAAGTATCTGAGAAAAAAGGATTTGGTAGGATTAGATTCTCAAACAGAGAAAGAGGGTCTGAGATCTTAAAAACAAAAGAGAGTGACACCAGGAGAGGGTTGGAGGGGTTTTATAGTTTGTTTTTTTTGTTTTTTTTTTTTTGTTTTAAGGAGTTAAATTGAGAAACATGACCTATGAATGACTTTTGAGGAAATTTTCAGTATTTTTAAGAGAGAAAATGTCAGTTTTATATCCCAATGATTTTTTAATTGTTTCTTCCCAGGCAAGCCAATAAATACTTTTGCATGGTTATTGTTAAAAATTTAACTTCCTTTATTCAAAATACCTACATTCAGAATTTAAGCACATTACTAGAATTGTTTTGACAAGATTATCAAAATTTTACAATTGAAATTTTTTTTTTTAACCATATATATATCCTAACTATATATATAACCATATATATATAACATATATATTCTATCACTTTTGCTTGTCAGGAAGTCAGTTGAATTCTAGTTGACTTTGATTTTCAAAAATTTAAATGCAATGTCAATCATTATATCCTGCGATTTTATTGTTTTTGACCTCTTAACAATTTTTTCTTTTTTTTTTTTTGCTCAATTTACAAAGCACTACATGTTATTTTTACTTTTATTTTATTTTTTGAAATGTTTAAAAAAAAAAAATTATCTAGGAATGATTCAACTTGAAAATTAATCTTTTATTAAAGAATATACAGGGTGTTTCAAAAATTTGATATCATTTCACAATCTAATAACTTTGTTAGATCTCCTTCAAATGACTTCAAATTTTAATATAGCATCTTTTGTTTTTGTTTGTTTTATGTTTTTGTGTTTTTCTTATTTGTATTTTTATGTTCTTTAATCTTTAATCTTTTTCTTTACAGGTATAAAAATGCTATTTACTAGAAGATATTGAAAATTGTGTTTTGTTGTTCACATAATCCACATGCTTTTGAATTTCTCATTCAGATTTGGAAGAATAAATCTTATGATCTTCAACATTAATACTTTTTAGTTTCATTTGCCTTAATCATGTACTTTCAGTGATATTTACATCTCAAAGGATATCAAATTTTTTGAAACACCCTGTATATATGTATTAGACTATTTATAAACCCACTGTGTTCCTTTTTAAAAGCAGATCATGACCCAAAATGATGGGCTAATTAGTGTAATTTCTTGAAAATAATATGCACCCCAACAAATGATCCAAAAATTAAGAAATATATCTATCCCTATGTATAATATGCATCTATAAATTTTGTCAAAAAATAAACAAAATAATTATGAAGACATCTTGTCGACTTTGACATTAGAATAAAATTAAAACTAAGCGGCTAAAATAATGTTAAAAATTACCATGTGTTTTTTCCGATAAATATAACATTTTATTTTACCACCAAAATGGTATTCTGCCAGTGAGGATGTTATAAAGAGATTTCAAGAAATGTTGTCTCACAACAGCCATGGATGACTCTAAAAATGACATCCTTTGGCAGGAGAATGAAGAGGCGGAAGATAATTTTGAAAAGGATGAAGATAATATTATAAATGATAATTTGTTTAATGACAATTTAGATATTGATTCTTTAATAGATAGTGATGATGATGAAAATTAAAATTTCAATAAATTGTTAACTTGATGTCTTTTCTTCAAACTGACCTTTTCATAGATTTATTTTTTCACCAAATAAAAAATGCAGTTACTGATAAACAAATTTATTGACAAAAAGATGTTACAATTATTATTGTTGGATTCAAAATGAAAATTGGGATATCTTATTTTAGAACAACAAGTATGTATTTATTATTATAAATCAATGAGGAAAAAAATATTTTTGTTTAAACCTATCTATAATATGCACCACTACTATCACCTGTAATTTACAGTAAAAAATGAGTATTATTTTCAAGAAATTACGGTATAATCAATTTTATTAATAACTAGCAGTAGAGCCCAGCGTTGCCCAGGGATGTAACAGTAAGAGATAGATCAAGTATCAACTATCATAAAGACTGAAAAATAAAATTGACAAAGATTATTGTTTAAGGTTGACGAACACACGTCTTAGTTTTTTTTTTTTTTTTTTTAACGAATTGGTCAAACTCAAACAAAAACATTGTTTTCAATCGTTATGAGTCTACCGATTGAATAGAATTTTATTATAAACAATTGTCTTATAAATGGAATTTTTAAAGCATTCTGAATGTAAAAATAAAGAAAAAAGTGTGCAAGACAATAAGAAACACTACTTGCCAAAAAAAAGTGAAGTTTTGTTGAAAAATGTAGGAAATCCGATCCCATATATAAATGAACACACACACACACACACAATCTGGGTTTTATAATAAGTATAACTCGATATGAGATGTCCCCCTTTCATTCCACGAAAGCAATGCCTCTTAATCGTGTTTTCAAATTGATTTTGTGCAAAAAAAATTGTATTTTTCAAATTTTTGGTGCTGTCAGAACCATCGCAAGGTAATTTTACGTAGTCCTGTGAAGTTTTGTTGAAATCTGTTTAAAAATGTAGGAAATCCGATCCAATATATAAACGCGCACACACACACACACACACACACACACAACCTGGGTTTTATAAGTATGATTATTCATATTTTAATTTGTAATGCATGTCATTGTAATAATTATTATTACTCGCATCACGATATTACTTAAACCAAGTGCAATAATAAATTAATAATATTCATATTTTTTCTTATACATATTTCTTTCTCACATTTATTTCAACATGTATAACGGCATCAAACCAATGTGCATCTGTTTATTTGTTTACCATCAAGTCACAATTTTCCAGCCATATAGATTGTTTTACAGTGCAACATCCATATAGCATCTTCACCTATCACATAATTTGTTCTTCTTACTCTCTAATCTACCTCAAGTGGCTCTTGGGCCTCATACAAGTTGAACATCATTGTAAACATCCAAATATCCAAGATGTTTATAAACTTGCCAAACATCCTCGGATATTTGTTTATAAAAAAATTCTAATATAGTGTAGTGAATTATATAAATAATGTTATGTATACTCATATTTATTTAATAATGTTATAATGTATTAGGAATGTTTATTATTTTGCCCATACAGAATAGTTGGAATATAATATGCAGTTGGTTGTTTATACAGATTGATATAAGAATGTGTATTGAAAACAAATACTGAATTTCCTATAAAATATGCATTAAAATCAGCCCTAGCTCAAGAACCCCTTGTCTAATTTGAAGGTATAATATCCTCTTGAATTTGTTGTGGTATTATGCATGATTAAATTTATTTTATAATATTTTTATAAAGTATTATGCAGGTTTATTGTTTTTTCACACACATAATACTTGGAATATAATATGCAGGTGTTTGTTTATATACATGGAAATAAATTATTTTATGATATCAATAGATATGTTTTACTTCTTTACATTATAAGAGAAATTTCTTCCATAAAATGTACTTTGAATACAAAATTAATAATTATTACTAAAGATGGCAAAAGAAGGTTTCCACTGGGCTTCATAGTTAATACATTGTATGAAAATTTGGAGTAATAGCTTAAAACAGATGTAGTCTTTCATAAAGTAATAAATATATTTTTTATTAAACATATTTGTTTCTTCCTTGCATTTATTTCAAAATACATAATGGCAGCAAACCAGTTTGCATCTATTTGTTTACCATCAAGTCCTGTGACTTGTATAGCCTCTTTACTTTTCAAGTAGTTTGTGACAATATTTAACATGGCTAACAGATGAAAAAGGTTAAACAATTTTTTTCTTTTATCAGAAAGATTCATTTTCCTAGGGTATTGAGAACAGATGTACGAATTCTGGAAGTGTTTGTTTATATACGCAGATTGATATAAAAAAAATGTGTATCAAAAACAAATACTGAATTTCCTATTATAAATGCTGTAAAAAAAAAAAAAAAACATCCTTAGCTCAAGAACCCCTTGTCTAATTTTAATGAAATATGGCACTGCACATGGCAGGGGTTCAAGGTACAATATACTCCTAAATTGGTTGTGGGTATTAGGTATTGTTTAAGCTGTATCTTTGGAACACGCACACCACATACAAGATGAGAGTTTTAGTTGTTGAAGGATTTCTGATGCTAAATTTAAAAAAAAAAAAAAAAAAATGCTATTGGAATACATTAATTTTGACTTTTGAATTTGACTCTCTTAGCATTTTCAATTGTATATTATTTATTTGCTTTTTTTTTATTTATACAGTTCTACGTTATGACCAAGAATTTAAGATCTTGAAAAATCTCCAAGATGACTGACTGGGACGATTCCATCCAATTTCTTCGTGGCATGGGTGCAGCTGTTTTTTACGGCATCTGTTCTGTGTCAATGGCCTTCCTCAACAAAATCCTGATGGATATCTATGGATTTGATTTCCCAATCAGCATCCTTGTCATTCAGATGGGAGCAACGATTGTGATCTTGTATGCCCTGAGGTTCCTGCGATTCATCGAACTTCCTGGCTACACCTTGAAAGACGGATACCTCTTTGCACTACCTGCATTTTTCTACAGTGCCAATTCTGTATTGGCTCTTCTCTCTCTAAGTCATATGAATGTTGCTATGTATGGCGTGGTCAAAAGGTGTGCTCCAATGGTGACCCTTTTATTGTCTGTACTGGTTCTCAAACAAGGCATACCTTCAGCCCTAACACTTACCTCAATCATTCTTCTTACTATTGGCTGTATCATTGCAGGTGAGTTTTTTTTTTTTTTGACAATAGTATCATGGGTAACAAGCTTGTTTCACAATATCATTTTGTTAGTCATAATAGTGAGGTAGTCGATGAATAATACAAACAGCTAGGGATTAAATAGTAGGGTAGATTAAGCTCTCTAGCCTTGCATGGGCAGTTTAAGAGAAAGAAAAAAAATGAAGTCCAAATTGTAGAGAAGGAAATGGGGGGGGGCACTCAACTTTTCCAATATTGCTTGTCTTTTCAGAGACAAGAAAGAGAAGGAAGTTTATGAGAGCCATGATCATCTATGTCCTGAAGGAACATGGCATTTCAAAAGTTGCCTCCTTCTTGATTAGAGAGAGAAGAAAGAAAGAGGGGGGGAAAAGGAGGGAGAGAAGGAGGGGAAAAAGGAGGGAGAGAGAGAGAGAAGAAAGGAAAAATAAAGAGGAGAGGGAGAGGAGAAAAGGAGAAAGAAATAAGGAAGAAAGAAAAACAACTACTTCTGGGTGACTATCATTTGTTCCCAGCATATAGTACCTCACTTCTGCTTAGGTGCCATACCTGATACATTCTTGGGCGATCATGTCTTTTTTTCATGATTGACTTGTCAGAAGAATTCCTGGACTAAGTTGTCATTACTTTCTGTAGTAGACTGGTTGCTAACCAATGCCATAGGACCCAGTTTGTCCAGCTATTTAACCCATAGCTAGGGGAGAAGACATGGATTAATACCTTTCCTAAGGATATTTACACATAAGTGAAAGTAACAGACTTGACTGAAATTCAAATTTGTCTTTCCGGTTTCTCATTCCAAATTTTTATCTATCACACCAGCTACATATCCATGCTTACAGCACTAGGTCTTTGCAAGTGATCACCCATCTAGGTACTGACTAGGTTCAGTGTTGCTTAACTTTGGTGATTGGATGAGAAACTTTCAAAATGATGTGGCTTTAAGCAGAATAGCTTGGTGTTATGAATTAAATCATAGGGTAGACTAAACCTCCTGGCCTTAGATGGTAGCCATTCTAGAAGATGGACAACTCTTGGATTTAAAACCATAGAGAAGGCAGTGGTGAAACCAAATGTCATGGCAATTCATAGATAATAAAGGAAAGAGAGCTGTAGAAAGCGATGATCACCTATGTCTTGAAAGGATATCGTGTATATAAAAAAAATAATAAGGATGAACTTTGTTTAAGAAGTGTATGTGTTCTCTGCTCAGGAGTAATGACATCCAAATTAATAAATGTATTCGATTCAAATTTAACATTTGAGCTTTCTTAATTATTTTAGTTGAAATCTTGCACAGTCATTCTTTTCTTTTTTTTTTTTTTTTGTCTGTCGTCCAATGCTCAACCTGTTCTTATTTTGCTCATTGTTGAACGTAAAGCAACTGAAGCATTTCAATAAAAAGAAGCAGAAGTAAAAAGAAAGAAAACCTACTTACAATTAAATAAGAGTAAGAGTTTTCTTGTCTTGGCAATGGATGAAAATAGGTGGGTGTGTGCATGTACACTCCCAGCCCCCACACATAAATAATAGCTGGCCACTTGTATTTACCTGTCTACTAGGGTAGCTAGCCAATCCCTGTTGCAAACTCTCACTCAGGCACATTTGTGATTGCTCAACACCCACAGAGCCAACCTGTAGTTTATACTGCAACTATACTGAGCAGACCTTAGTTACAGTTTCTGGTAGAGAGTGTGTTATCTAGTATGATCAACAATCTGAACAATGCCAGCACACTCACGGCCTCGTTCATGATGATTGTGACTTCCTAGCACAGCTATTGACAGTCCCTAAGTGTTTCATCTACCCAATTTCACTCACAAGGCTTGGGTCAACCTGTGGTATGGTTTTTCAGGTACTTTCCAAAGGTGCTGAACACTGATCGTCCCCCTCCAGATGATAACACTCAGGAAGTCTCCTCCCTGACAAATCGATCATGGCGACATTCAGACCCAGGTCTCATGGTCAGAAAGTGAACGTTCTAACCACTTGGCCATATATATATATATATATATCATTGTTTGTTTACATTCATATAAAAACAATATTGACTGCTAGATTTAGTATGATAATTTTCATTCTGTCAAAATAAAAATAATCTGCTCAATGTTTTAAAACCTCTGACTTTAAAAAGAATATAAAAAATTTCATTTTGGGTTTACTGCCTGATGGCTTGAGAGAAACATTAGGATGTCTAAGTTGCACTGAGGAGCTGTGAAAACAAATGAAGCATGTAATTTTTTGAATGACATAGACACACATTAATATATATATATATAACATATATATATATATATATATATATATATAATTCTTAATATTACTAAATATACACATAATGTATTTTAAATATATATACATAGGTGCATACATTTTAATATATATATATTTTTTTGAATAAAATTTCAAGAGGATAGAATCCAGGTAGAACTAAATGTCCAAACAGAGTAAAAGGATATAATTAAAATAAATATTCACAAAAAACATCCTTATTCAGGTCTGATGAATTGGATCGTATTTATGATTCCAATGGAATAAAAAATATGACCATGGAATATTAGATGGAAAGAATTATATTTATATATATATATATATATATATATATCATATTTTATGCAAAATTAAAGTAAAATTTAAAAGATTACACAAAATAATATAAATAAATATATCACTGTACTCCTCCCCAGGCTTTTCAATGAGATTTATGCATTTTCATCTTTGAGAAGACATGATATTTTATCTGATAATATCCAAATCCACTATATTTGTCTTTTGCACATGTAATATCTTCAACAAAAATCAATTAATTGCCTCACAATCATTTCACAAACAAAAATTCTAAATATCTTCAAGTCTTTTGATTAATGCTTGGTAAATATGCTAAAAGTAAGATCAAGCTTTTTTTTTTTTTTTTATTTCTAGCTTTTTGTTTAGGATAGTGCAAATTGTTGATGCTGAACTATGTCAGAAACACAGGTACTATCTTTTGCTTTGAATACATTTTTGCATGGATATTTTTTCCGTCTTCTTAGTAGTAACCATCCAAATTGGGTATCAATCATAAAATCCAAATAATATTCAAAATTTACCATATATAAAATATATTGTAATAATGTACAATGAGCTTGTATATAAAACAAAATCAGTCCAATAAAAACTACAGTATAAAATATATTTTTTCTATTTAGTACACTTTAATATTAAGAATTTAAAAATACAGGCCAAAATATGATAATAACAAATGAGGGTATTTTATTAATGGAATTAAAAAAAAAAAAATATATATATATATATATATATAAACCATATATATGTATATATAAAAAACACTCTCCTTCAGTTTTTCTTTAACCTTCATCTGACCACACCATCAATTCAGTTATGAAAGTTTATCCATCCATTCTTAGGTGGCATTTAAGACCTGAAGTTTTTACAAAGGAGGCTGCATATATACAACCTGAACAAGTATGAGATAATCTTGCATTAATAATTTATATTTTAAATAAGATCAACAAAATGATTCAGACAAGCAGATTGAAAATTGCTAGAGTCCACTAAAAGACAATGAACTCCATTCTACCCGCTCCAAAGCAAAGAAGAGTAAACAATGTGATATATTAACTGCTGACAAGTTGCTTTTCAAATGGAATTTCGTTTTAGCCATGGGCGTCCTATTCCTGTAGCCCTGATCTAACTGGCTGGATGTTAATTATCTTGGGTATCCTGTCATCAGACATTTTCAAGACATGACCAGTCCAATATAAAATTGAGACTGTATGATAAAAACTGGATTCAACCAATATTACACCTATTAAACAATCACGTTAGATGTCCTATCTTGAATAGAACTCCACAGATTGCACCACAAGCTTTTTATATATACAAAAAATTTAAAATAAATATTTAGATAAGATTTTGAAAAATTTAATGGTAACATTTATATCAAATATCTAGTTTTTCAAATGCCATGAAGGGAAGATCAAATTCTTAATTTCAAAATAAAAGTGGGAATGCCAAAGATTGATAATTTTTCATATGGCAAATTTTTTCTGTAAGAAATCAAACCTGTGTTCCATTTTTGAGGTTCCAATTTTTTTATATATATATATATATATATATAATATATATATATATATAAGATACAATAAAATGGTTTCATAAAAAGAACCTAATTAAAAGGGTAAGTTAATGAATTAATGAATAAATTTTTGATAACAGATTTAATAAAGTTCATTAACATATTAAACCTTTTTTCGGCACTTCACATTTTGAAATTATGTAACCATTAATTTTTTTAACATACTGTTAAAAAAAATATCTTTTGGTCTGCAATACATTTTATTTTTCGTCTTGAAAGTTACCTAAAATAAAAAAAAATTAATCCTGATGATGAAAATGATAATTTTCAAGTTACTAAGACTTAGTTGACCTTATAATTTCCAAATATAATTCTCACATCATTCAATGTTTTTAAACTGCATTTAATAAGAACTTAATAAATCTTTAATTTGATTTCCCTCATTAATTACATCAACTTTATTGATTAATTTTCTGTGATTTTACTTTAAAATATTATATATACTGCAATATTTAAATATATATATATATTTCAAACAGTAGAAGCCATAAAAAAAATTTATGTTTATTAAAAAACACTATGCCAGAAAAAATAATATAAAATCTGAGTTTCCCCTTCAGTACAGAATTAATAATTATCAGAATTTGACACAATTCAAGGTTCAGATGAAAAATTATTACCTGTAGAACATTTATCAAGAAAACATGATTTTAAAAAGCCAAAAAATTCACTATAGAGAAAAAAAAATTTTTAAGATAACCTTAGAAAAATACTAGAGGAACATTAGAAAATGGATTTTGTGTTTCAAAACACTTCATCCAGACAGGCTTAACCAAGAATTTAACAACATAGATAGAATTAATATATAACCCCATAAATCAAGCCTCTCATCATTTCTCACCCACACAAGACAGAAATGTTGTTAAAT